CCACCACTACTATCTGTCCGTCACGATCCGCCTGGTCTCACGTCTCCCCGTACTTGCCCGCACCCACCTGCCTTCCTATCTGTCCGCTTCTTCCATCCTCTGCCACTGCTCCTCCTACCTGTGCTTTCTCTACACACTTCTGCCTGTATGCCTTCCGGCCTGTCTCCCACTCCGTCCTTCTCTTAACCTGTCTCCATCATTGTAGGCACCTCTGCCCATGCATGAATCAAACATTCGCTTCGAGACTGTAGGCGCTAAGTGATGTTATTTCAGCATCTTCACCGCAAATTTCAATACAGGACTTCCTCGATTCTGTTACAGTCATTTGGATGGCCTTGTTGACTACTAGGCAGAAAAAAGGAAAAAGGAAGGGGAACAGAAGAGAAAAAAAATTAACTCAAAAAAAATCGAATGGGACAATAAAGATAAAGGAGAAAAGCGGACTGAGAAGAACAGAAAAGATCAAGAGTTACGGATGTGATGAACACAAAAAAATGATGGGAGATTGGAGATGAACGAACATGAGTAATTACAAATGAAGTTCAAAAGGAAAAAAACTTGGAGTACATGGATATGATAGAAAAAAGAATAGGATAGAAAAAACCATCAGACAACAACAAATGCAGCAGAGGAAGGGGGAGAGAAAGAAAAGAATTCAGTGAATCACATATATTTCATAAAAATCTAGTTCAATCTCAGAAGAAGAGAACACAGATCATTTATCGTAAAGGCCAAATGTGACAGAGAAGTTTCTTCCACTCTGTCTTACTCCCCTTCATCTCGATCCACCTACAAACTCTCTACGGTGTCCTTTCTCCTCCCATCACTCCCTTCATCCGTACCATGCCGCCGGATAAAACCCCACATTCATTCATTCTCCACTTTTCGAAACTTTCCAAACACTCAGGCATCACACCTACTCCCCATCCACCCCNCCCCCCCCCCCCCCCCCCCCCCCCCTCCTCTACCCACCCTTCTCATATCCTCATTTATCCCTCCGAATGAGAAAAAGAGTTCGGGCAAAATCAAGTTTTTTGATTTGAATTAGAATTTTTTACTAGAAGTGTCAGAAGTGATCGCCACTCGACCACAACCATACCCAACATGAAATCTCCTGCAAGTATTGGACAACACCCTTCCCGCTCCCTCCACGCCCCTTTACCCATACGATTTGTTGAGAAAGAGAAAAGAATAGTGATGAAAAGCTTATATTTTGTTCGACAAACAATGTTCTATTTCCTAAGATCTACCCTACTTTCACATGTCACCCCGCTAACACTCCACCGCCCCATCTTTCCAGCTCATCCACCGCAAAAACCGATCACACACGATGTCCAAGTCAACTCATGAACAATGAAAGGAGGAGAAATGTGACAGGAAATGACTGGCTACTCCTATGTGGAAGTCCTGTATCGAGTAGGTTCAGTAAAGCTGCTGTTATAGCATCAAAAGCGCCTATTTCATTCAAGTCACCTCAAGCGGGTGATTCGATTCAGTCATGGACGACAAACCTACAATGCTGATGGAGACAGACTGGAAGGACAGAGGGGGTGACGAACCGATCGGCACACAGACAGATGTGTAGACGAAAGGGCACAGACAGGCAGAGATAGACAGACATGGAAGAATGCTGACAGACAGACAGGCAGACGAGCACGGACACATACAGGCAGACCGACACAGGCAGACAGGTGGACGGACAGACAGATACGGGTGGACAGGGACGAACAGAGGGACACAGAGGGCATGCACAGACAGACACGGACAGACAGAGGGACGCGGACGGACAGAGGAGGGGGACAGGCACGTACAAAGGGATAGACAAGGACAGACGCGGACAGACACGAACCAGGACGTCGCATGCAAGGACGAGGACAACACATACACGGACAGACGGGACAAGCCTGGCGACCGGTCGATCCGTCCCTGTCGGAGCTCCCTCTTCACCACCGTCACGTCCCTGGACCACGACCGCCCATTTGGATCTGAAAAGGATCTAGTTAAGATAAGGTAAATGGGAGAGAAAGGCACAAAGAAATGCCTATACCTGTGGCCCTGTTCGCGAACAAGTGGCGGACCGTCAAGGTCCCGTAGATGAGGGGACCCTCTCATCGATCCGCTAACCAAGCGCACATCTACAACTCACATTATTTGTACTAGCGTATTTTATTATAACCAAAAGATTAGAAAAGTTCCTAACCTGGGTACGATGTGGGCCCACGGAAGCGTTCCCAAGTTGGACATCGCCGAGCCATTGGAGTGGCATCGGGGTTAGTACTGAAAAAGTAGGCATGAGTCCAGTAAAACTCCTCTGAGAAAGTTTGTAGCGACGATTGGTTCGATAGAATGCAAAAATGAGAGTCAAGTCAAAAAAATACCAAATGGAGAATAGAAAGCAAAAGAAAAAGACAAAGGAGGTGACCACCAGCAGCCGCCGAGGAATCATTGCAGACGGGCGGCCTTATTGGGTGGTTCGATCCGACCGTGCCCTCCAACTGTTGAATTGACCAGCCCTTATTTCACACATTTACAATGGTAATAAATGGATAAGCATTAGAAAATGGCGCAAAATTGAAAAGTAATACGAGTCGAAATAATGAACTTTATAACTAACTGGTCACTGTCCCAAATCCAGTCAGAAAACAACATCAGAGGTGGCCTAAGGCATATGGGCATGGAATGTACTCAATGAAATCGCCATGACGAACACGGCATGGAAAGCTCATGGTGGTTCCAAAAAACGCGTTAAGCGGTTCAGAGCGAGAGCATAAATGGCCCACCCACCGATGGGACAACCCCTCACCGAACTTCAAGCTTACCAGGCCTTCAACCAATGTGGCGCATCACCACATGGTGGTAACGGGATATTGAATTGTACTCGTGCGTGTTAGGAAACCCAGGCGAACAGGGGGATGATATATGGTCGTGCCGTGGGTGGGGGTATTGTGAATATCAAGGAAAATCAATCCATTACGAGACCGTCAGAGAACAACCATTCTTTAACCCCTCTCATTTTCGTTGCGATCCACTTCGAGCAATCACTATCGATTCGATCTACACCCGCGGTTGCTGAACAATGCGACCATTTCAAGGAAAAATGGAATCAACTCAAACTGAAGCTGAATGCAGCATTTGTAGTTGTATTCCGCAGTCAGTGCAAGTACCCTACGAGAATGTACCTTACATGACCTTTTCAAATTTTTATCAAAGGAAAATCTCACTTTGGTGAAAATGTAGTTGGGGGGTGCCAGCGCCCCTCCGTCACGTTACTCTGCGTCTCTGACCCATGTGGCAGATTACCCAGAGTGCGGATATGTCCTCTTAATAGTGATAGGGAATGAATTCCTTAACAAGGGGAGGAGCTTCGGGGTGGGTGAGAAGTAAGTGCAAGGACAAGAGAAAGTTGCGATAAAGTAGACAAGAGTGGAATGGGTTGACTGCAATAAAACGATTGCGACCGTGGACGCACTGCACGCGTCGACTAAGGTTGTTATTAAAGAGCTATTCTGAACCATTTCAACTTTTTGCACAACGTTTACTTCTCACCCACCCCGGAGCTCCTCCCCTTGTTAAAGAATTCATTCCCTATCACTATCAAGAGGACATATCCGCGCTCTGGGTACTCTGCCACTTGGGTCAGAGACGCAGAGTAACGTGACGGAGGGGCGCTGGCACCCCCCAACTACATTTTCACCCTCAGTTTTGCTGTATTTCGCATTAAATTCACTGCAAAGAAGCCAGTCACAGGATCATCCCATTTTACGTTTTGTAGTTACAGTGTAAAGCCGCTCGGTTGAGAACATAATTGAAACCTGCAGTAGAAGACACAAGACATCGGATAGAAAACAGAGCCCCGATAATCACAGAAAAAATCAACTTTGATGGAAGTCATGGTAGGTTAGGTGTATTTGAGAGATAGCATTCGCTGAACAGACAAGCATAACGAAGAAATGATCCTGAGATAGTTTTTTGCTTCCGGATGCTCAGCACAGTACCTTAGATAGCATTGACTCAGAGGTTTATGATGTTTTTTGCTCGCAAGCATCATGTACACGACAATTAAGAAGAAGCCACAGAAGCAGAAATCGAAGAAAATATTAATAAATATGTAACACAGAGAAGAGGAATTTTCAAGGTAGTCGCACGCGGAATTAACAGTAAAGGAACGCTGGTTGATGATACAGCTGGCAGCAAAAGTGGTTCTCTTACAGGTGCTGAAAGCTCTGCCCAAAGATCGCCGTAGTGATTAAGCTACTTTTAGGACTTGCTGGACTCCCCTTAGTTGAGAGTGGGAATCATACGAGTTGCCCAATTCTTTTGAATTCAAACTAATCCAAATCATTTACCCGAAAACCTGTAATGAAGCCAAGGGTAAAGAGGGTTTCGAGGGTAGTGAGCCTAAATTTTGAATGCCGAACGGAAAAACATTGATTTTCAATGATTTTTTGGGTACAAGGATACGGGCACACCACTGGTGCCTCCATGGGATAACAGCATTCGAGGGAACTGGCTCATTTTTCGAATGCCTACAATACAACCTCTCCGGACGAGGAGGAATCGATCACTCCCGATTCCCTTACAATGGACGTGTGGGTATGGAAACCCTGGCGACTGTGGCTGTTCTGTGCGTTGAACTTTGGTCTTGCTGGGGGGGTCTCCCTCCAAATTCCCAGAAAATCAATCCGCTCCGATACCGACAAAGAGCTCCACTTCTTTTTCCCCTCCCATTTTTGTGCAGATTCTCCCAGATTCTGGCGGGCGACCCCCCTGCACGACCAAAGTTCAACACACAGAACGACCGCTGGTCGCCTATTTTTCCAAACCCACATGTTTTTCCTGTATCGTTTAATATCGTTTTCTACGTGGGGAGAATATTAGTAACAAGTAAAAATTGCTTGTAATACCAGTAAACAGCAGAGTTTGCCTACACGACCGTTCGTTCAGCAGAGAAGATACGGAACAAAAGACACTTCTTGTTTTCCTTGTGAAACTACAAATAACATGCAAAGTGGTACGATAAATGTAGCGATGGGTAGGCTTTGTGGACTGTAGGGGTCGATGACTAGTCAGATTCATTTTGGTCCTCGACTTAACTGCTTTGCTGATTCAGATGGACCCCCAATTGCTCTGACCTCTTCAGTATGCATTCCTGCTTCCCATTATCTCATCTAGGCTCGCTGGTATTCTGATCCTACCAGATTACTTCCTGCCTAGGCTTGTAAATGCGTAGGTACAGTTTACTATTAGAAAGCCTACTGTGCTTCTGACAAAAACAGTTAAGGGCCTAGGCCTCGGTTAGCATTCTGTCGTTCTATGACAGACTCTAAGACTACCTTACTAGGCAAGAGTTCCAATATTCGAGTTAGAGCTAGGTGAAGCTTGAATTGATTATCCTAGAACTCCATTGTTACTGCAAGAGGACCCTTATTGACTTGATTCCCAGGTGGATCTATCAGAAATGTGGACAAGTGGGAATGAAGATCTTGATGGGACCCTCTGATTTGGTACGCCCGAGTATCACTTGCAACCGACATCATTGAATAGCTACAAGTTTGCGTCCCTGACGGCTTTATGAGAGAAACTCCCAAACCTAATTTATGCCTGTGAGATTCTCAGTTCCTCTTGAAAGCATGAAAAGGGGTTACGAGATGGAAAAAACAAAAGAACTCAACAGAATGAATGAGCAGAACGAACCCATCACATCCCTATCGTGCCGAGCAAGTACTGAGTACTACTTAGCGAATGGCTAAGTGTGGTAGCACCTCGTTGGTCATGGAAGCTATGTTGGGACTCGCTCCTATACATTATCATTTGATAAGCTGATATGCTATGACTGAAGTGATTATGAGAAACTGAGGGAAGCGGGGCCCGATAGTGTACATAGGGGATAAAGCACGGTGCAGGAAATGCGCAGGTTGCGCAGGTTTGTACGCTGAGCGCTTACATCACAACATCCTTGTGGGAATAGGAACACTCTGAGGATGCTTATTTTTGGTTATGCGTTGGTTTGGCCGGGAATGGAATCCAACCCCTATGCCTGTGCTTCAAGGATACCGTGCTTATCTGACCAGGGCCAGCGGTACCACTTAGGAGTGGAACAGAGTATTGCCTCCATAAAAGGAGATTCAGTTTCAAAATGATCAAAAATAAAAAGGGCCGTCACAAAATGAGGAACTGGTTCCATCGTGAATGAGCCGGTTCCATGTCTGTGATTAGTGGGCAGCCCCAATCAGGATAGAGATGCGCCTCGAATACGATGGATTCTTACAAGGTTGAGAAATTAGAGAAATTAAGAGAATCAACCATTCTGCCGAAATAAAATGTTGATATGTATGCATGCTAGAAAATGTTAGAGTTAAGCTTAATAAAAAATTTTATCGGAAAGAAAGCACCAAAAAAAANNAAAAAAAAGAGACGCCAAGGAGGAATCCATTACCTTCTGCTTAAAAAGGGTATTACTACTTCTACACTACGGTGACGCACACTGCCAATGTCGATCAACTGCACCTTCCAACATGACCATACCTTTTATTAGTAAACTTTGTCAGCTCATAATGTATTTGGGTGCAGTTTTAAAGCTTAGAACGTCAGTTTATACCTAGATGTTCCTTTTAAGTTTTTTTTTAAGTTTATAAGTCTCAGTTTATACCTGGATGATCCTCCAAAGATTCGATGAGTGTTTTAGTCAGGCGGAGACTAACACTCGAAGTTTCCTTTTTTTAGAAAATCGATTCCTAGGTACTGAAAACCTTTGAATAGCCACTTAGCTATGAGGAATGCTTTTTCTCTGTGCATAGGAGACCGTCATGATCTTGTTTTACGAGTGGTTTCACAGCACCTGTGAGGTTCTAAATTGAGGTTCTGTTTCAAATTAAGGGTTTGTATAAGAGAGTTTGAAAGAATACACTAACTCTTTTATGATGGCCGTTGTAGTGCTCTCAAGCAACTTAAGAAAACCTTGGTCAGGGTGGAAAATAGAAAGCACTAACTTGACCAGTGTTCGCTCGTTCAGAATACGATGTTGGCTTCGCACTTTATAAACTGATTATGAGTAATTCTGCAAAGAACGAAAACAACAGCATTGTATTCCTGCAGACAGATGAGAGTCTGTATAAGCCACGCACACAATTTTAAACATTTCTGAGAAGACTCGATACAATGGATGCGAAGTTGTCTGAGTTGCAGTGCTTCAAATTTTTTGCTTTTGGGCAGAATTAGAAACGGTTTTTGATAGTTAGGGAGGAGGACTGCCGAAATAGATTCGAAGCGGAAGGCCTAATAGCTATGTGCATCTGCCAGGTGCGACACAATCCCCTGCGCTACGTGGGACTAACACCGAAACGCTATCTAGAATCGGATTAATAGCCAATTAACAGCGATAAGCAGTCAAATAATCAAGTTTAACGATAAAGAAGAATTCACATCGATGGTGAACCTGAAAAAAAAATTCCGAGGAATTTGAATGATCTGAAACCATATGAATAACTGCTTGACTATAATTATAGCCCTGCCTTGGATAGTTCCACAAATGACGTAGGAGTATCGATAAATATCATTATTGTTGTAATCAACACTTCAAGATATCATTTTCTCTGTCTAATTAATAGATTTCGTTCTGTTACGCAGTGGTAAGAATCGCCGCTGCACCGGAAGTCTACTCTATGTTCGATTCCTCAAGCTCGATCCATTTCGCTGTGGCTGTAGTGGTCAAGCATCTTTTTTGAGGAATCGTGATGACTCTAATTACAATAAAACTTATGAAATAGCTCGAACCATAGAGAGTGAAGTGAAATGCATGGCGAGTAAGATCGACTATAATTGACATATACCTTAAGAATTTAATATTGATGAGATAAGAAAAAGAACCCATGGTAATAATGGAACATCGGAATATCGATAATGGGATATTGGGCGAACTGCGAGTCCTTCCCACTAGACCAGCACTAGGACAAGGCTGGTGAGCTCTCGTCTCTTTGATATTGCCGGAAGGTGCCTAGAACTGGAAGTACTCACTCAACCTAATGGTAGCACACCACTTGAGACTATGAGGAACAGCAACTAATAAAAACACAACATGAAAACGTTTCGGTTAAAAAACCCACGCGACAGTGGCCGTTCTGTATGATAAACTTTGATCGTGGGGGAGGGGGGGGGGGGGGGGGGGGGGGGGTCTCCTTCGAAATTCCCAGAAAATCAATCCGTTCTGTGATCGACAAAGAACTTCACTTCTTTTACCCCTCTTGTTTCTCTTATGGTTCTCCCAGTTTGGCAGGAGGCCCCACGCGAGACCACTGTTCAACACACAGAACGACCAATGGCCACCTCTGTTTCCAAACCCACACTTCCGCATTTCAGGAAGACCACTATCCTAGCATCAAGCCAATATTCCAAATCGCGCCCCAAATAGTCTACTGAGTGCCATCAGTCGGTATAGACCACTTTACTCTATCGACACCATTATTCACACAGTGCCTACCAGAAGATGCGTGCCAATGTCCACGTGCAACGGTCGTACGGTCCGTCCACCTCCATGCCACCGAAGCTATTCCAGCTCGGATGAGAATTTGCCTTCAAGGTTAGTTTCCCGGCTAACCACGACTCATCAGCACGCAACTGCATCGGCGCCACTGTCGTGACTTTCGTACGACCTCTTTTCGCAGCGTCTTCTACTGCAGCCGTTGCACTACATCTCACGCGCAAGGTCTCTCCAATGCTTATTGGACGGTCTCAGAGTGCCGCACTGGGTCTCACCGCGCAACTGCGTTACAGCCTTTGCCTGCGTATCGGCGGACAGGAAAAGTTGACCTAAAAAAGGAAAACAGTCTTTGTCAGCCTCGACTTATGTACGCGCAGGATTCGGCTGGAGCCTTGCATAGTTCCTTACCATCGTCCTCAACTTTCCCACGCTTCTTCCTCTTCTTCTTCTCCCTAGCGTTAGTCCCGCGCCGTCGCACGGTCCGCTGTTCTTATCAGTCGCCCCCATTTCATTCTATTTACGGCATCTTCTGCCGTCACCTTGGCTTCGGCGAGGTCCTTCTTGATCACGTCCCGCCATCTCTTCTTTGGGGCTTCCCGTGGTCGCTTGCCTTGCGCCTCGAACTCCATTGCCTTCCTTATCGGGTGGCTCGATGGTCTTCTTAGGACATGTCCGAACCATCGTAATCGCTGCTCCCTCATCTTTAGTTGAACTGAAACTGTTTGCATGACCGTCCTGACTCTTCATTCCTGATCCGATCCAGTCGCGCCCAGCCGCAGGCCCATCTCACAAATGAAGGATCCCAAGTCGAAGTGGCCATTTGAAATGAGACCTACACTGCTAGACGTATTTTTTGATGCTGATTTCAAATCTGCATTCAAAATCTGCCAAACGATTCTCTGAACGGAGTTGTGGAGATGGTCTCTGGAGAGCGCTCAACAGGGGAAAGCATAAAAGCCATGGTCGCCGGCAGTGCGGGAGTGGCGGCTTGGAGTGAAGGTAAGCGTGACGTCTCATAGGCACGGGCCCGTTTTTGGACATGGTGGAGGTTGTGATCAGTTTTCAAAGAAGTTAAGGGTTGCCATGTGCCAAACGCGGCAAAGTTTGGTATATATGGATGGATGTTACACTAAAGAACAAGGAGTATTTCGGATCCGGTGATGTTAAAAGCGCCCCTACAAGGTAAGAGCACAAGTCGATAGGAAGTTTCTGCTCTATCTTGTGGAATCCCTTTTACGAGTACCTCGATATCGAGGGCGAAGAAGACCGCTTGATTGAGGACGAAGAGGCCGATCCAGTGTGGGAAGCGTAAGATGAAGAGGAAACAGCAAGCACATCTAGAAGGTCGTTGATGTATAGTAATGTGGAAGTGTCCAAAGTGCAGGTGCAGGTTCTTCTTCCCAGAACACTGGTTAGAGCGAGATAACAAACAAATCCAGGTGGGAAGCGCTATCAGAAAAGTGAAAAATTTTTTTCATTTGTTGCGCTCATTGTGTAAGATTTTTGTTTTGAACACTCCGTGCTAGAATATCACATCCGTTATAATGAGTGAAAGTTATCTTACAGTGAATTTGAAATTTATAACAATAAGAATAGAATTCTTGTGATGTTGGTGGTTGGAGTAGATGTCGGACGGTTTAAGTAGGAACGGACT